CCCCCAAGACCCCTTCCCCTCTCCCCCCCTCCCCACACACACAGACACTCTCCCTCTCTGTCTGTCTGCCTGTCTGCCTCTCTGCGTCACTTGTCGACGCAGCAACCACCAACCACCCCCCTGAGTGAGTGAGTGAGACAGCCCATATGCTCGCCTGCCTCACTGCCTGCCTTCAGGTCCATGCTTCATCCGGAGGTAGGTAGGTAGGTAGCCACACATCCATGGATAAATGTCAGTCAACCAGGGTCAGGGGCACTCATGGATGGATGGAGGGAGGGATGGATGTGTCAGACAGTGTCTAGGTACTCGAGGTACCACACACGCCCGCAAGCACACACGCACCAGTGAGGACCATCACCACCACCACCACCGGCAGCAGCAGCAGCAGCAGACAACGGCAGGAAGACGCAACGCACGAGTGCGAGTGACAGCCACCAGGGGAATTGCCTCCCCTCCCTCACAAGCACACGCTCGCACACTCATGCATGGACGGCGAATGAATGTCTATGTCGCTACGCTACGCTACGCTACCAGCCAGTCAGTCGGCATCAAGGAATGCAATGCCCCCTCTCTCCCTTGCTACCTGAGAAGGTGTGACGCCCACCCACGCTCTGGACATAGATCGGGAGAGAGAGGGAGAGAGGGAGGGAGGGACTGGCCAGGCCACTAGTGACGCGCACACACACGGGAAGACAGATAAAGGGGCCGTTAGAGAGGGGGGGAGGGAGTGGGGTTAGAGAGAGAGAAGAACCGAGGATCGTCTCGTCTCGCCGGTCGGTCATTGTATACAGCAGCCACACCCTGGTTGAGTTGATTGAAGCATGGACATCACAACACACACACAAGGGGACAAGGGGACAGAGAGGAGAGCAAGAGATAATTTCATGCATGCAGACAGGCATTCGTGGGGGGATATAACGGCTTCTCTCTGGCTCATTCGCTCATTCGCGCTCTCTCTCTCTCTCTCTTGCTCACTTGGCTGGAAATACATCTCTTGGTTGTATTCCTGAGCGACCAAACACACAACCACAGACAGACAGACAGACAGACAGACACACACAAACAGACGCATGCAGTCATCCGTCCGTCCGTCCGTCAGTGTCCGTCAGTCACTGTCAGCTGACTGACCTTGAACGACTCCACTTCATGGATCTCGGCCACCTTGCAGTCCTGCTTGACCTCGTCCACAAAGGCGATTGAGTGCTTCTTGCTCCCCCGCGAGATCGGCTGCCCCCTGGCGTCACGCCGCATCTTCTCGCTGTAGGTCGGGCTGATGGCCTCCATCGACGGCATCACACTCACCGACGTCACCAGACCGTGGTGGCCGTTCTCCTTCCACAGCTGCGGGTGGTGGCCGTTGCTCGGGTGGTGGTGCGCGTGTGTGAGGTCTGTCCACTCCTGCGGGCTGTCGGCGGTGTCGCCACTGACGGGGGCGGGGGGAGGCTGGGGCTGTGGGGAGGGGTTATTGTTGTCGTCAGTGGTGCGGAGCGGCCGAATGACGCCCAACTTGGAGGGCGATGTGGCCTCTTCTGGGCTGGGAGGCGCCACGGGGTGGTCTTCTGTCGTGTGGCTGCTGCTGCTCTGGCTGCTGCTTGGATGTTGGGGAGGGTGGTGGGGATTGTGGCCATTGCTCGCGTGTGAGTGTTGAGCGTCGGTCCCATTGCTGGTGCTGATGCTGCTGCTCCCGTTGGTCTCGGCCATCGCTGGCTGAGCGTCGGTCGTCGATAGTAGGCTGGCTCAGCTCAAGGCTCAGCTGGGGGTCAATCGATTCACAGCCGCCACGAGACTCTCCCAGTGTCCATCAAAGGGAAGTCTGGTCGATAAATGACTGTCGCTGACTGACTCGCCATGAGGCCTTCTTTCTTGGCAGCAATGAGAATAGCTCGCACATGCCGTCGCGAGCTATAGCGCGCAAAGGAGAGATGGACAACAACTTCTCTCTCTCACCCAGAGCGCCCTCCTGTGTGATGCCGAGGGCCTAGCCACCGCAGATCTGTCACCGTCCCAACAGATCTCTTCTCACCAAACCCAGAATGAGGAACACGCGGCCCCTCCTGCTGCCGCCAGTGCTGCTGGTGTGGTGCTTGCTGGCGGGAGTGGCGCATGGCGGCTGGTTCGGGTACCACGAGTCGCCCGACACGCCCAACATCAGGTACCTGGCGCAGTTCACGCCGCTGGAGTTCATGAGGGACATGAAGGCCCCGCCCAACGGCACGAGCAACAATGCCACTCTGCCCTTGGTGACGGCCGCTGCTGGGCGGCTGTCGACGGCCACTGTCGAGACAATGCCCTCGCTGAGTCAGGAGGGCATCGCTGCGCAGGTCAGATGAGGCTCACCGGACCACGCCACACCACACCACATCTGTGTGTGCATCTGTCCCAAGTGACTCTCTCTCTCTCTCTCTGTGTGTGTGTCTGTGTGTGTGTGTGTGCAGGTGGTGACGCTCGAGGCGTGCTCCGAGTATGCCCCGCACTACCATCCCCGAGCGGCCGAGCTGCTCAACGTCATGGATGACCCGGAGGGCAAGGGCCTGATGGTGGGCTTCATCGACGAGAATGGCGGCAAGAAGGTCGTCAACGTGCTGAGGCAGGGGCAGGTGGCTCTCACCCCTGAAGCCCTCGTCCACTGGCAGGCCAACTTAGGCTGCGGCACTGTCGAGTACCTGGTCTTTTTGAACAACGAGGGTGCCTCACGCACAGATACACACATAGGGAGAGAGAGAGGGGGGGGGGGGAGAGAGAGAGAATGGCAGAGGGACCCCTCTCCTCTATGTATTATGGCTGATAACTGTCCGTGTGTGTGTGTGTGTGCAGATCCCGGCGAAGTGGCTTTGGCCCCGGCGCTTCTGTCGATCCCCACCGCGCACATTGAGACGGCCATCCACAGCGACCTCGACATCATCGAGACCCTCCGCCGGGCGCAGCACAACCAGACTCATGGGCTCGTCCAAGGCCTCGCCGACTGCCGCAAGAAATGCCAGATGGCCACACCTCGCCCGCCCTCTGGTAAGTAGCTTCACCGACACAAACACCAAACACACACACACGGAAAGGTAATCGTCATCCGCTCAACCTCCTCTCTCTCTCTCTCTCTCTCTCTCTCTCAGACGCCTTGCAAGTGCTGGGGTACTGCCCAGAGGGCGACCCTGGTATCGACGGGCTCAGAATGTGGCAGAGCGAGGTCAACAAGCAGGGCGGCGTGCAGGCGTCCGACGGCAGCCAGCACCGCATCGACCTCACTGTCACGGATAGCCCTCCGAGCAATCCCTCCGAGTACATCGCCGTGATCTCCTGCAAGGGGAGCGAGGAGGAGATTGGCCAGGCCATGGGTGGGCAGAAGGTGGTCAACATCGACTGTGGCGAGGGGCGGGAGAGGAGAGGCCGGAGTAGGTACTCCTACTCGGTGGTGCCGCCGCCCTCGGAGCGGCTTATCCAGTTCATGGACAAGGCTGCAAGCGCGCGCCTCGGCAAGAGCGTCATAATGGTGAGATGACCTCCCCTCCCCTCCCCCACACACACGCCCCATCGAGACACTCACTCTCGCTCCCCCCCTCTGTGTGTGTGTGTCTGTCAGGTGATAGAGAAAGACGGAGATGCAGCCGCACAGGAGGCCGCCTCGGCCTGCTCGGACACCGAGTCCCTGGCCCGCTTCGGCGCGTCCATCCAGAAGCTCACCATAACCAGCGCCGAAGCCTCCCCTCCGTCTGAGAAGCTCATGTCCTTCCTGCAGGACAACCGCGGCGACATCCTGGTGCTCTGCACGGGGGCGTCGGCCGCCGAGGAGATCGTCGACAGGGTGATTGCCACACCCTTCAACTACCAGGCTGTGGTGCTGACGGCGAGCGATGTGGATGCCGAGCGGATGGCCGAGCGGTTTGGCAATGAGGCCGATGAGCTGTTTGCCCTGGCCTTCTGGCACCCTGCTCTGAGATACAAGACGACCCTGTTTGCAGACCCCCAGTCCTTCGCCGACCTGCACGCATCCCTCCCGACAAAGTCGTCTCAGAGGCCCACGCACAAGACGGCGGCCTGTGCGGCAGCGGGTGTGGCCCTGCAGCAGTCTTTGTCTGCGCTGCGGTCCCCCTCTCTGCTGAGGGAGGGCGGGGAGGTGCTGGCCAATGAGCTGACGACCGAGGTCGGGGATGTCCGTGTGGAGACGGTCTTCGGCCCAGTTAACTTCCAAAAAAGGTGAGCAGACAGACAGACAGACAGACAACGGTGTGAGCATGAGTGACTGAGTGTGTGTATGTGTGTATGTTGGTGTGTCTCAGTCACAGCGAGCTGGAGCTCCCCGTGCTGCAGCTCTCGCAAGGCTCTCTTGACCCCGTCCTCCCCGCCAAGTACGCCGTTGGACAGCATGTCCTGCCCGCCACAACCTGGGCCACCCGAGGCGGCTGCCCCCCCGGCACCAAGCAACAAGACGGCACCTGCACAGTCTGCCCACGCGACACATACTCGTCGTCTCGCGACTCCCGCGAGTGCACGCCCTGTGGGGAGGGCACCACGAGCGAAGAGGGCAGTGCTGCGTGCGTCGATGTGGCTGGCGGGGCGATGATGGGGGCGGTCATCGGGGGGGTAGTGGGTGGGGTGGCGGTGCTGGTGGGGCTGTGCCTGGGGGGGTGGTTCGTGTGGCGGAGGAACAAGAAGGGGCCTAAAGGTCCGTTTGAGAATTTACGTGAGTGTAGTCAGCTCAGCCACACAGACCCAACAGGCCCAACACAATAATGGGCCCACAACAACACGGTCCCACACATCTCTCTCTCTCTCTCTGTGTGTGTGTGTGTGTGCTCATAGCAGGCACAGCAAAGTCGCATCAACAGACGGCTCAGCAGGAGATTATCGACCCCGAGAAGTACGCCAACGGCGTCTCGTCGACAGCCATGACCGCCACGCCCATCAACATCAACATACCCAGCCAAACCAGCATGGGGTGAGGTGACCACACACACACAGAGAGACACCGACACACACAGGGCACAAACCGTTTCTCTGTGTGTGTCTGTGTTGTGTGGCAGTTCTGGTGGGACGCCGAGAGGTGTGGCCAACATTCAGATCCCCAGCGACCTGTCGGGCCTTAGTGGCGGTGAGAGCACGAGTAGATCAGACAGACAGACAACGGCGTGAGCATGAGTGTGTGTGTGTGTGTAGGTGCCGGTGGAGGCAGCAACGTGCCCCCGCTGATGCCGCACCCCCGCAGCAGAGAGAACAGAGAGGCGGCTGGCGGGGGCAACCAGCGTCTCAACATCAACTCTCTCGGATCAGGTAAAGAAGGGCCAAACCCAACACACCAAACACACTCTGACGACCATCCGACCTCTCTCTCTCTCTCTCCCTCTGTGTGTATGTGTGTGTGTGCAGCTGGTGGCTACGCCAACACCAACAGCGAGGCAAGAAGCGACGGCTCGCGGGGCTCCATGAGCATCAACACGGAGTCGCTGCAGAGGTACGTCCCTCTGCAGTGGCTCCAGACGTACGTCTGTGTGTGTGCTTAAGCTGGCTCTGTGTGTGTGTCATCTGTGTGTCGTGTGTGTGTGTTTGGCAGGGACTACAACTTCACCTGGATCAAGCCCGAGGACATTGATTGCCAGTTTGACGAAGACGAGCTCATCGGCCAGGGCGGCACGTGAGCAGAAGCACCCACACACACACACACACACACTCCAGCAACCGACGAACGACACACCGGATGACACCTGCTTGCCCTCTCTCTCTCTGTGTGTGTGTGTGTGTTAGGTGTCCCGTGTACCTCGGCTCGTGGCATGGCAACAAGGTGACCACACACACACACACACGCACACAGAGAGAGAGAGAGAGAGAGGGAGAGAGAGAGGGAGAGAAAGACGTCTGTGTGTGTGTGTGTGTGTGCCACACCCACTCAGGTGGCCATCAAGCGGTTCCCTTCAAAGGTGGTGGAGAGCGGCGATATGATGAAGACGTTCGTCACCGAGGTGGCCGCCTTTGAGACCTTCAGACACCCCAACATCGTCAACTACTTCGGATGCCATCCTAAACGACCTTATCTGTGGGCCACACACACACACAAACACACACTCTCTCTCTCGTCTGTGTGTCTCTCTGAATCTCTCTCTCTCTCTCTGTGTGTGTGTGTGTGTGTCAGGATTATAATGTCTTATGCCAACGGCGGCAGTCTCTATGAGCTGCTCCGCGACTCGCGGCAGAAACTGTCATGGCGCGAGCGAATCAGACTGCTGCTCGGCATCTCGGCTGGCATGACCGTACTGAGGGCACACACATACACACACAGAGAGAGAGGGGCAGGGGCAGATTCACAAACAAGACGCCCCTCTGTCTGTCTGTCTGTCTGTGTGCCTTTTGTCTGTCAGTATCTCCACGGCGACTCGGCCACCAAGCGCCCCGTGTGCCATGGCGACATGAAGAGCGGCAATGTGCTGCTGCACTGGGAGGGCATGGAGCGCATCGCCAAGCTGACCGACTTCGGCTTCAGCACCATCAAGATCGCCTCCTCCACCGCACAGAGCGTCAAGGGCTGCACTCTCAGATGGGCCGCGCCGGTCAGACAGACGAAGAGAGACACACACAGAGACAGAGAGGGAGAGGGGCAAGAGGCACACACCACCAAAGGCAGCCACACGAAGATCTGTTCTGTGTGTGTGTTGTGTGTCTCAGGAGATAGTTGACATGTCGACGGGCCGGACGACGGAGACGCTCAAGCAGGCCGACGTCTTCTCCTTCGCCGTCGTCATGTACGAGGTGCTCACCCGACGGCTGCCCTACGCCGACCTCGACGACCTCGCTGTCATCTTCTTTATCCAGCAAGGAGGTATTTGTTTCATCTTTTCACACACACACACACACACAGACAGAGAGGGAGGGAGAGAAAGATGGGCACACACAGGGAGAGGAAATGGCGCACACAGACAGACAGACAGACACACGGACGGCCAATCAGACAGCCATAGAGACTGCAGCATCACACGCCTCCCTCTCCCTCTCCCTCTCCCTCTCTGTGTGTGTGTTTAGGCCGCCCCACGACGCCCTACTTCAAGGACCGTCACGGCAACAACCACCCCCGCCACCCCGACGCCTATTCCGTCCCATCCGAGTGCCCCCAAGAGGTCGTGCAGCTCATGGAGGAGTGCTGGCACGAGCAGGCCACCAAGCGGCCCAAGTTCCCGGAGATCACGCGACGGCTGGAGGTGCGGTGGGTGGGCTGTGTCAAGTTGTATCTGGTGGGTGGATGGATGTGTGTGTGTGTGTTTTTTTTTTTTTTGTGTGTGTGTGGTCCAGAGGATTTTTAAGGACATAGAGGCAGCAACTCCTGAGCGTCGCGTGACCTTGTCTGAGGCCGAAGCGGTCAGAGAGAGAGAGAGAGGAGCGTCTGTCTCTTTCTGTGGTTCAATGCGTCCCCTCTCTCTCTCTCTGTGTGTGTGTGTGTGTGTGCAGGGTGGGTTGATCAACACAAGCGCCCACGGCCATCAGCCCAACAGCACCGCCAGCAACGACTCCAAGAACGACGTCTCTTCCGAAATCCAAAAACGACTCGTAAGTGACCCTTGAGCAAACCACCACCCACCCCTGTGTGTGTGTGTGTGTGTGTTGGTCAGGCGCAGCAGGCAATGGGCGACAGCGTGGTGTCCGGCGTGTCGGACGATTCGATGGGCCGCGACAGCTACCTGGGTCCTGGAGGGCTGCCGCCACCCGGCTCGTCGGCCGTGAGCAGCAACTCGCAGGGCAGAGAGCGGAAGGGCAGCATTGGGAAGGGACGCTTTGAGGTAATCAATGCGGCTGTCTGCCCTCATGGATGGATGGATGGAGTGGCACACGCGGAGAGGGACGTGTGTGTGTGTGTTTGTCTGCAGACGGTGCACGAGCACGACGAGGAGGAATGATTGGTTGGTGGAGTGAGTGCAGCGGCCCCGCACACATCGCAATGCTTGCACGGCGCGAGTCAGCGGCGCTGTGCACCACACAGACAGACAGACAGACTGTATATCGTGTGTGTGGTGTTGTGTATGTGCCCCTACCCCCCCCCCCGGTCCTCCGTCCGAGAAGAAGAAAACCTTTTTGGTTCTCTCTCTCTCTGTCTCTCTGTGTGTGCGTGTGTGTCGCCCGACAGATATTTATACGTTCTGCCTACTGGCTGGCTCGGCTGCTGCTCGCTACTCGCCGTCTCTCTGTGTGTGTGTGTGTGAAGTGAAGTCAATGTGCCTTACTGCCTGCCTGCCTGCCATTGCCTTACCTCTCATCGTTTTTATCCATCCATCGATCCATCGCATCTCTCTCTGTCTCTCTGTCTCTCTGTCTGTCGGGCTGTCGGGCTATCTGGGTGTGTGTGTGTGTGAATCGTCCGTCCAATCGCTGAGTGCGCGAGAGAAATGCGTGTTGAGAGAGAGGGAGAGGGAGGGAGGGAGTGAGTGAGGGAGAAGGCGGCACACAGCCCCGCCACCCGCCTCATCCGTCTGTGTGTCTGTCTGTCGGACAATACTCGACTTTAGTGAGTGAACGTGCAGCGTGTTGCCGTTGTTGTGAGACCCTACTCCCCTCCCCTCCCCTACCCTGTCGTCGATCGGTCCTGCCTTCGTCGCCACCCTCCATAGCATTCACGCCGCAGAGCAGCCCCTCTTGCGGCGTGACTGCTCCGGGGGGCGGTGTGCCGATGAAGGCCGGACCGGACGCCAGAGAGAGAGGGAGAGGGTGTCCACGAGTGGCGCCCATTGTGCTTTATTTAATGGTGGTGGTCTGCATGGCCGCCATTCAAGGAGAGAGGGAGGGCAGGGCAGAGAGAAGTCGATCGTGCTTCTGACGCCCCGCCCGTCCGTCTCCATCTGTGTCAGTCCCCTCTGTGGCAGAAGAGAGTGACTATATTATTATGAGGGGGCGGCGTCGACGAGTGAGTGAGTGGTTCGGGCGAGAGAGGGGTGTGTGTGTCGTTGGTGCTCTGCTTTTCTTGCCATGGCATCCGAGTGGGACGGCTCGTGGCTTCCTGCCTGCCTGCCTGCACTGTGCAGGCACCTGTGTGTCTCCTGTCTCTGTATCGCAGCGCCCCGTCCACCCCACCGACCATCCATATCTCTGTGTGTGTGTGAGAGTGTACACTGACTGGCACGGCTGCATTCAGGTTTTGTACGTTGAATGCCTGCAAAGGATGATCGTGGACCCGAGCCCGCCCGGCCTGGCCTGGCTGGGTGTCCACATGGCGGGGGTAGTTGTGGGAGGGGGCTCTCAGACAGACAGCTTTTTTCTCAGACAGCCGTTCTGCGCATGCATTATAGAGGTGGGTCGGGTGAGTGAGTGGCGCGGGGGTGGTGTGTGTGTGTGTGTGATGATGATCTATGGGACAACAGGCATCGCAGCTAAGGAGAGAGATGCAGCAATCAAATCAACCGAATTTGGTCACAACGAAGGAGAAAGCCTAGCAGGCGCATGTGTATGTTGAGCGTTATTCTGGCAACAAAAACTCAAATATCGCGTAGAAGGGTTTCTGATGAGGCTGTAGTTGGATTTCTTGTGCTCTGCTCAGACCATCCGAAGGGGATGGTCTAGATCAACACAGGTTGACTCAAGCGTGGGGACTCGAGAGCGATTGAATGAATGAATGAACGTCTGTCGTGAAAGTCCTCAGACAGTGCCGGTCATGCAGCGAGCTCAACCAATGGGCGCTGTGAGCGTTGACAAGGCAGGGAACTGCCGCTGCCAAACTCGCAGACGACCGGCAAAAGCAAATACCACGTCTGAGGACATCGCATGCACAGCCAAACAGCCACACAGACAGTGTGGTGTGCGTGG